ATATTATATTATATAATTATAATTCTAAATATTTTTTGAAATATATCATAATTTGTAGCACTAATTGAACTCATCGATACATTAATTATAGAGTAGTTTATTTAATATAATTTATTTAAATTTATAACTGTGAAAATAATAGGGAGGCGACGCCGCCAGTGTTTGAGAGACCCCCATCGATCGGACATATAGTCGAAGGACAGGATGTGGTCCTTGAGTGCAAAATCAAAGGCAATCCTCCTCCAGAAGTGAGATGGGAGAGAATGGGACGCCTGCTTCACAACGATCACAAGTAAACTAATTCCCAATAAATATATTAATTCATATAAATAATGTCTAATGAAATTAGATACAAGATATCATCCAATCATCAAATGGGAACTCATTTTTTGACTATAAAGCGAATTAACGTTGAAGACGACGGCGAATATACAGTGATTGCCACTAATATCGCGGGACAGACATCGCTTATAGCAACCATTGAAAGAGGACCCATTCGTAATTAATTTCATGAATATGATATATTAATTTAATCTTAATAATATAAATGATTGCACTTATCTAGCTCAAATATCAGAGTTTAGTTCGGATCAATCAACTATTTCATCAATCAGTCAAAAAAGTACTGACACTTATATAGAGTCATTAAAAAGCGACCAAAATATTAAAGTGTGTATTAAATGAAAAATTAGCAAACTAAAACAATTTTATTGAATATTAACTTTATAATGAGCAGGATTTTCAAATAAATACATTTGAACACAAACTGTTACACGAAAGCGAATTTCGAAGAATAATAACCCAAAGACTTGTTGATGAAGAAGAATACAATCCATTATCAGCTCAAGACTTTAACAAACCTTCAATTGCACCACAAATTATAGACAAACCTCCAAATGAGCGAAAAGTATTAGGCGATAGCGTCACATTTCAATGCAATGTGTCAGCTAATCCAGTTCCCAGAGCAATTTGGTTTAAAAATGGCAAACGAGTCATACCATCAAATAGATGTCATACAGCGGTTAAAGACAATACAATCTCTTTAAGTCTAACTTCACTTTTAGCAGAAGATTCTGGTTATTATACACTCTATGCTGAGAATACTAAAGGGTTTACCATTTACTCTGTCTATTTGGATGTCTCTGACAGTCCAACCGTTACTCAATTCACGACACTTCCAAACATTGATAAAACTTATCAAAAGACTGCTTATGAATTCAAGTAAATATTCATTTTTATAACTCTAGTATATATTAGAAAATTGAGAAATATTGTTTTTAATTTTAGTAATATTTTTACTGATTATATAATTATTTTATTAAAGGGATAACAAAGACGTGACTGAGTATTACGAATACGACATGAACCAAGAAATAGTGACAAACATTGGCATTAAACCGAGTTTTTTCCAAATTCCTTACAATCAGGAGGCAGTTGAAGGAAAGTTAGTTAGATTTGACTGCCGAGTGGGCGGACGACCCGAACCAGAAGTCAATTGGTTTCGCGACGGAAAGATAATTCTAGACTCAAATCTTGTCAAAGTAGTAGTCAATGAGGGAGGCATTCATGCTCTCATGATTATGGCCGCTTATCCGAGCGACACCGGCACCTATACGTGTGTGGCCAGAAATAGAGTGGGCGAAGCCGTCTTCAAAGTATCTCTCAATGTGGTGGAGAAGGAGCAGACGGTTGCGCCCAAGTTTGTTGAGCGCTTCCAAGCGGTTGATGTCAAAGAAGGCGAACCCATTTCACTGCATTGTCGGGCAGTGGGCGCACCCATACCTCGCATCACGTGGCAGAAGGACGGCGTCCAGTTATACTCGAATCCACCGGATTTAGAGATTAAGACAACCGAAGGCACGTCTACTCTGATTTTCAACAGAGTGTTGGCCAGACATTCGGGATGGTATCAGTGCACCGCACAAAACCAGGCAGGAATGGCCGCCACCAGAGCTAAGCTATATGTGGAGCCCGACAGGAGAATACCAGTCGGAGAACCGGTTATAATAAATGTTCCCAAAACTCATCGAGTGATTGAACCTGAAAGACCGGAGCCGTCGGAAACCATATATTTAAAACATATCGAAAGAACGTATCAACAAATCCCGAAACAAATGCCTGAACCACAGCCACAACCAGCGCTTCCAAAGCCTGCATTCACAACACATTTAAGAGATTTGATTTTGACTGAAGGAGAAAGAGCTCACTTTGACGCCAGAATTATGCCCCTATCAGACCCCACCATGAAAGTGGACTGGTATCTCAACGGAACTCTTATTGAATCAAGTTCTAGAGTATTAACAACATTTCGATTTGGTTATCTCGCCCTCACTATTATACACGTCTATCCAGAGGATTCAGGTCATTATCTTATTATTATTATTATTCTGAAAATAGTAGATTCTGTAGTATCTAATTCTGTAGTAGCCCCAGAGAATCAGATAATTTATTTAGAACCACGATTCCGCTATGCAAAAATGTGATCTAAAGATTTGCAACAAAATTATTAGCATGATAATTTGAAAGACCTTATGTCAAACTATTAAACTTGGGGTTTAAAATTAATTTAATAAACCTTCTTATAAATCTAATTTATATAGTTGTAACAAAGCTTAGCTTAATTTGAAGCCTCAAACTGTAACTAGAATCAAGCTTAAGTTATCAATAATTGCTACAATTGAGTATTCTTTAGTTTACTATTAATATGCAAATTAAATATATACGAAAGTGTAAATCGGTAATAACAACCTATAAATTTATGAATAGGAATTATCACATGTAAGGTAAGTAACGAGTCGGGAGAAGCCGTAACAACGGCTACTCTCAAATGCAATCCCAAGACAACCCATCCAAAGCAAACGAGTCCTCCTGTTGGCGAAGGTATTGAGAAATTGCAAACCGTAGAGGACTGGGAGTTATATTCAAGAGAACAACACATCACAGAAGAGAGGCGAACGAAACCAACTTTTGCTAAATCATTAAGTCTTCAGGAAGTGATGGAAGGGGCGAACGCACGCTTTGAGGCACAGATCACACCAGTCAATGATCCGACCCTCAGAATTGAATGGTTTTTAAATGGACAACCATTAATGTTGGGTATGTCCTAAATAATTATAATTAATTAACTTATTTATTTATTAATTTCTGAAATTCTTATATCAAGGGTCGAGAGTGAGTACCGTATTTAGCTTCGGATACATCTCTCTAAACATAGCAGAGGTGAGGCCATCGGATTGTGGGCTATATATGGTTAGAGTGACAAATGCCGGCGGAGAAGTCGTTTCCACCGCATCTCTCAAAATCTTAGGTAACAGTGCTCACAGTCTTCAGTGGTAACAGTCTTCAGTGCATTCAATTCAACTAACGTTGACATTGATTTAATTTTCAGTTAAATCTCCGTCTCATAAGAGATCAGATGAAGACAGTTCTGCACTCATGAGTCAAAAGAAGCGCTCGAAACATGAGTTCTTTGATCGCGAGTTAGAGCCGCACAATAAGCCGGTGTTTAAAAAACATATTGGGGATCAGTTGGAAGTGTTAGAGGGAAATACCGCTGTTTTTGAAGCACTTCTTGAACCACAGGGAGACTCAACAATGAGAGTCGAGTGGCTTAAAGATGACAAACACCTGAGCGCCAGCTCTCGAATCAATCCGTTCTTCAATTTTGGTTACGTTTCGCTTACAATCAGAGACGTCGACCGCAGAGATGCCGGCGTTTACACCTGTGTGGCCACAAACAGTGTGGGTTCCGCCAGATCTGGCGCTCGACTCACATCCTTATCAGAGAAATCACTCATATATGAAAGCAGCGATTTGGAGGGTTGGGAGAAGATCCAGCACATTGAGGATTCAGCTTATTATAAGAGGGATGAATTTACGGAAACAGTAATCGTTCAAAAACCAAAATTTATGACTGCTTTATGCGGTAAAGTAGACCTCATTGAGGGACAGACCGCTCATTTTGAGGCCCGTTTACAACCTATTGGAGACCCCAATATGAAAGTTGAATGGCGTTTGAATGGCAGACCACTTCCAACTGGCCATAGATTTAAAACTTACTTTGACTTTGGCTTCATTGCACTCGACGTTTTGAATGTGGTTCCAGAGGACAGTGGATCCATACAAGTGGTGGCACAAAACAATTGCGGAACCACTACAATATCCACTCAATTAAGAGTTAAAGCCAAAGAACCGATCGATAAGACCTCGTTTTATGACACAACGAGTGAACAGAGAATACAAACCATTGAAAAGAAAGTAATCCGAGAAACCGATTACTATATGGAAGAAATCAAACAAATGAAACCTATATTTCGGATTCCACTGCAAGTGCCGCCACTTCTCTACAATGAGGGCGAGTCCGTACATATGGAAGGCTTTGTAGAACCGGTCAACGACTCGGCCCTAACCTTAGAGTGGTTTTTCAATGGAAAGCCATTAATTTCCGGATCAAGATATTTGACTCGATTTGACTTCGGCTGCCTTTCACTCGATATTCTGTCGGTTAGAGCCCAAGATTCCGGTGAATATACAGTTCGGGCGACCAATCGATTGGGAAGCGCTCAGTCAAGTAATACAATTACTGTTGTCCCACAATCGGGAGTTATTAGGGAATCAGAATATTCCGAGAGTTTGGTTGAAATTCAACGTTTAGAAGATCGCCGTAACTATAAGAAAGAAATCCAAATGGATTTTGTTGAGGGAAAGGCTCCAGTTTTTGTCAAACCATTGCATAATATCGAAACTAATGAGGAGTCAAATGTTCACCTCGAGTGCCGGTTAGCACCTTCTGGTGATATAGAAACCACTATTGAGTGGTTTAAAAACGGTCATCCGATTACTGTTGGACACAGATTTAGACCACAGTTTGACTTTGATTTTATCGCATTAGACATTCTATGTGTTTATCCTGAGGACAGCGGTCTCTATACATGTAAAGCAAAGAATATGTTTGGAGAAGCCGTCTCTTCGTGTAATCTGATATGTCATGGAAAAAGTCAGCGAATTGTATACGAGACACAAATGTCCGACAGTTTTGTTAACATAAGACAATTGGAAGAAAGGAATCGAAGATTAGCTAAAGACTCGTCGGTCACGGAAGAGATTCATAAAACAAAACCAAAGTTTTTGACAAAATTTCGAGATCTTGAGTTAAATGAGTTCCAATCGGCACATCTGGAGTGTCGGGTTGAGCCCATCAATGATCCAAACTTGAAGGTTGAGTGGTTTCATAACGGACATCCACTTCCAATTGGTCTGTATTAAAATATGATACTTAAAACTTACTTGCTAACAAATTAAATTTTCTATTTGTCGTATATGTAGGCCATAGATTCCAACCGTTTTTTGATTTCGGTTATATTGCACTTAAAATTTTGCAAATCATTGAAGAGGACTCCGGTGTCTATACCTGTAGGATAACTAACAGCTATGGAAGCGATGAAATGTCTGCGACCATCATATGTCACGGAAAGGCTTCTATTGAAAGAGATTCTCAGTTTCCAGACGCTTACCAAAAGACAAAGCAATTAGAAGAACGCGGATATTATACCAGAGATTCTTATGTCGACGAAACCACAAAACAGGCGCCGGTGTTCACAACAGCGCCCAGAAATAGAGAAGTGACAGAAGGAGATCGCGTCCACTTTGAGTGCCAATTGACACCAATCGGTGACCCGACTCTATCAGTGGAGTGGTTTAAAAACGGAGAGCCATTACTTCAAGGCTCGAGATTTGTTGAGATCTTTGATTTCGGTTTCGTTGCACTCGACATACAACACGCCTATCCGGAAGACAGCGGAAGATATACTATAAAAGCGAAGAACGCTTTCGGAGAGGCGACTACACAAGCATTTCTCAAATGTCGGCCCACTTCTAGTCTCATCACAAGCACTCAATTAGAGGGCAGTCTCTCTAGTATTAGACGACTCGAACATAAAAGAGAACGAGAGATCGAAGAGGAGGAAGCGGTGTCCGAATCACCCGTTTTTACTCAACCCATGAAAAATTTATCTCTGATTGAGAACCAAAGCGCACACTTTGAGAGCCGTCTGATCCCAGTGGGCGATCCCAATATGCGGGTCGAGTGGTTTCATAACGGGTCGCCTCTAATGCTCGGCTCAAGAATGTCTACAATCAATGATTTCGGTTACGTTGCGCTTGATTTCAAGTATGTGAAGCCCTCTGACAGCGGGACTTTCACTTGTAAAGCAACCAATCTTTTGGGTCGAGCCGTCTGTTCGGTGACTCTACACGTCGAGGACACCAAGTCAATCATTTGTGACACTTCTTTCCCCGATAGTGTCCAAAAGATATCATCTCTTGAGGGAAGGAATTATTATCGAAAGGAAGAAATCAGTGAAATCTCTTCCGACAGAAAACCTTATTTTGTGACTCAATTAAAAGGTCCGAATGTTGCAGAAGAAGGAAAGAGCGCTCACTTTGAGTGTCGTATCGAACCATTTCCTGACGACACTATGACTGTCGAGTGGTTTCTTAACGGACATCCCCTTCAGATAGGGAACAGATACCGAACATTATTCGATTTTGGATTCGCAGCCCTCGATGTCATGAGTCTTATACCAGAAGATTCTGGAGATTATGAGATTATAGCTACAAATCATTTGGGTTCTAACTCTTCGAAGGTTACGTTGAGAGTTGTGGACAGAGGGAGTCTACTCTTGGATTCAATACAGCCGAGTAGTCTCAGCAAAATCCGAGCCCTCGAGACCCCCAGGAGAACCAAAAGAGAAGAGGACGACACCATTTATGTGGATAAACCAGAATTTGGAAATTCTTTACGCAATTATGAGAATTTAAAGGAAGGCGAACCCTTCCATATGGAGGCGACACTCACTCCTGCAGACGACCCCACTATGAGAGTCGAGTGGTTAGTCAATGGAGTTCCTCTTCAAACGGGTCATCGTTTTAAAGCACTACACGATTTCGGTTTTGTAGCCCTCGATGTCCTCTATGCATATCCCGAAGATTCGGGTACTTATATGTGTCGAGCTGTCAATGAGGCCGGAGAAGCAGTCACTACCGGTTCCATACGAGTTGAACCCAGAAAAGTGATCGATACGGACCCTATTCACGAGGAAAGCCTTCAGCAAATAGCAGCACTGGAAAGACCGCACATCAGACATAGAGTGTCACCTCAATTGGAAACATGTCGTCCCGTTTTTACAAAACAATTGAAAAATTTAGAAAACCTAAGAGAAGGTCAGTCCGCACATCTTGAGTGCAGACTCGAGCCCATCAACGACCCGACGATGACTGTTGAATGGTTTCTGAATGGAATTCCTCTGAAGACTGGACACAGATTTAAACTAACCAATGATTTCGGGTATATAGCACTCGATATACTTTATGTTTATCCCGAAGACACGGGTACTTATATGGTTAGAGCCACCAATGAGTTAGGAGAAGCAATCATCACTTGTATTATAAGTGTATTGGAGAAGAGATCCATCAATTATGACACAAACAATCCGGAAGGACTCGAGAGAATACAGCACTTAGAGAGACAGACAACCAGAGGACTACAAGAAGTTGAAGAAAGACCTCCAACTGAACCCATGTTTTTATCCAAACTTAGAGGCACTACGAAACTGATTGAGGGAGAGAGGGCTCACTTTGAATGTAGAGTCGAGCCCTCATATGATCCAAACCTTGAGATTGAGTTCTTAAGGAACGGACAGCCATTAATTTCCGGTAAGTTGTTTGCAATTCAATTGATGACTTGTAATCATATTGATTATCTTTAATTTTAGGCTCACGTTTCCATACATTCTGTGATTTTGGATACGTATCGCTTGACATCGCATATGTTTATCCCGAAGATTCTGGCAGTTATTCTGTGAGAGCTTCCAATCTGTTGGGAGAAGTGATCACTTCTATTAGTCTTCACGTCCAGGGTATTGTCATTTAAACATAAATTTTAACAAAAATGTAATTAAATGTTATGAAATTGTAGGCAAAAGTTCTATTCAGACGGAAAGCATGCATTCACAGGCTTTACCTAAATTGCATGCTTTGGAAACAGAATATCGTTACACAGTTCAAGAAGAAGTTCTTACTTTTCAAAGACCAGTCTTCACGACTCCCATACAAAACATAGATAACCTGTTGGAGGGGGACTCCGCTCACTTCGAGTGCAAACTTATTCCCGTTGGAGACCCCACTCTTGAAGTCGAATGGTTTCACAATAATATTCCCTTAAAAACTGGTCAATCATTTGAATAATTCTCTTGATTATAAACCATTTATCAGATTTTGTCTTAAACTGACAATTGATTAACTTTCCAAAGGCTCAAGATTTATAACAACTAATGATTTTGGTTACGTTGCTCTCGATATACTGCACATTCAACCCGAAGACTCCGGAGTTTATACGATTCGTGCCATCAATTCATTGGGAGAAGCGATCACAACGGCTACGATGAGAGTGAACTGTAAGCATACAATCACTCGCAACAAACCCACTGTAAAGCAATATAATGAATAATATTTGCGATTTTGTAGCCAAAGCTGCCGTTCAGATCCATTCACAACACCCGGAAGGACTGCAACAAATTCAAGCCCTCGAGAGAGCCAAACATATTAGACCGCGAGAAGAGCCTGAGCACTGGTTTGAAAAGCCTGTGTTTACCACACCACTGATAGGACCTCATGATTTGATAGAAGGACAGGCCGCACATTTTGAGTGTCGTGCCATTCCTGTTGGCGATCCCGACTTGGATTTCATTTGGTATTTGAATGGCAATGAACTGCTATTAGGCTCTAGAATAGCGACTTCACACGACTTCGGCTATATTTGTCTTGACATCGCGTCAACTGTTGCCGAAGATTCCGGCGTTTATATGATTAAAGCAATTAATAGATCCGGAGAAGCAATTACTTCGTCTTCATTGAGAGTCAAAGGTATTTGATTAACAAGAATATTATGTAAGAAATGATTAAAATAAAAAAATAATTGGAAATTTTAAGCGCTTTCGTTAATTGACATTCACTGTCAACATCCGGAAGCCTTCAGACAAACTCAAGTGTTTGAAAGTGATATTCGAAGAGTTGAAGAGACTATAGAAGAAAGATATGAGAGACCAGTCTTTACTAAACAACTCTCGAGTGTAGAGAATCTAAAAGAAGGCGATTATGTCTGTATTGAGGCTCAGATCGAGCCATCGAATGACGAGAAACTGGTTGTCGAGTGGCATAAAAATGGACAATATTTGGTGTTAGGCTCCAGAATAACCACACGTTTTGATTTCGGCTTAATATCACTTGAAATTATGGACATCAAAGCTGAGGACTCAGGGATTTATACCTGCAGGTCATTTGTCATTATATTAATTCTTACTGTAAACTTATATTTAAATAAAAATTAATTTTAACATTATATTACAGAACTGTTAATGATTCTGGAGAAGCAATTTCTACCTGTACTTTAAAAGTTAAAGGTATGATTATACTAAAAAAGTTTAATAATTTACTTTTAGCAATTAGTAGAAATAGATTCCAGTTGAAATGATCATGAAAATAGTAGATTAGAAGAATGAATTTATTTCTTAAACTAAAGGTTCAGAAAATTTGGACTTACGTTCATTACATCCCGAGAGTTGGCAACGAATACAAGAATTTGAAGCCTTCCGACCAGAACAACAGGAAATACAAGAATATGAGACAGAAATGCCGTATTTTGTGTCACATATGAATGATTTGGATCTAAGAGAAGGTAATACCGCACACTTTGAGTGTAGGGTTGAGCCCTCAAGAGATCCCACAATGAATTACGAAATTTTACGAAATGGCGAACCCATGCCTTCTGGGAGCAGATATGCCGTCTCTCATGACTTTGGTTATGTGTCCGTCGATATTGCTTTTGTATACCCAGAAGATTCTGGTGTTTATACGTGCAGAGCATTCAACCAGAGGGGTCAGGCATTATCGACTGCGTCATTAAAAGTGGTGGGAAAGGGATCTATTGATACAACAACATTGCACCCGACAGGCCAACAAGGGTTGGAGCGTATTAAACAACTCGAGACAACTGTTGAAAGAGTGTCGGTCACCGAAAAGAAACCCGAGTTTTCAAAACCATATTTTGTAATACCTTTGAAACACAACTTCAAAGTCAATGAAAGTGAAGGATTGCATTTGGAGTGCAGAGTCGAGCCTTCAAATGATCCAAACTTATGTATTGAATGGCTTTCCAATGGACAACCGTTGACCAGTGGCTCGCGATTTGCGACTACCAGTGATTTTGGATTTATAGTAATGGATATCCATGATCTATGGGTCAGAGATAGTGGTGTTTACACTTGCAGGTCAGTCATGCGTTCATTCATTTATTAAAACTTAATCATTAATTACAAAAAAAACTTATAATGTTTATAATTAAATATAATTTATATACATTTCCAGAGCCACCAATCAATTGGGAGAAGCATTTACTTCAACACAAATCGATGTGATGGCAAAGAGTGTCACTTCTCAAAGTCAGAGAACTCCACAAAGTGTACAGCAATCGGATGTAAACGAAGAGCTCTTTGACTTCGAAGCGATTCAAATGCCAAAAATCACTCTTTTGTCTAAACATATGACAAATCTGACGGAAGGCGAGTCCGCACATATCGAGGCCAGTCTTACACCAATAGACGACCCCTCTATGACTATTGAATGGTTGTTCAATGGAGAACCACTTGAAGCAAGCAATCGGATCAATACAATCCATTCGTTTGGATACATAATTCTGGAGATTTTCAATACTAAGACCGAAGACTCGGGAACCTATACTTGTGTCGCGACCAATGATTGCGGAACACATCGTTTGGATATTCAGTTGGAGTGCATAGAATCGGAACGAGGAGAGAGACCTAACTTTGTGACACAAATGCAACCCGTATTAGGTCTTAAAGAAGGCGAAAGCGCTCACTTTGAGTGCAGACTAGAACCGGTCGGTGACCCCACACTTACCATCGAATGGTATCACAACGGACTGCCATTGACTCCCAGCTCGAGAATTAAGTTAATGAATGATTTCGGGTATGCAGTGATGGATATCTCTTACGTTCATTCAGAAGATTCGGGTGAATATGTTTGTGTGGCGTCCAATAAATTGGGGTCAGACACCACAAGGTTTACACTGCAGTGCAGTCCCACCACTAAAGTAGTCAAACACACACTCCTTCCCGAAAGTATGCAACAAATTCATGCACTCGAAGGCTATGCGAACGTCCAGAATAAGAGTTATATTATGCCGACGGCCAGTCAATCGCCCAAATTCTTGAGTCCAATCAAAGAGTTATTAAATTTAGTCGAAGGACAGAGCGCTCACTTTGAAACCCAATTGGTTCCCATCAATGATCCAGAAATGACAGTTGAGTGGTATTTGAATGGAGAGCCCCTTAGATCTGGTCAACGCTTCCGAACATTCAATGATTTCGGTTTTGTTGTCCTCGATATCTTGGACTGCGATGAAAGAGATAGCGGTGCCTATGAGTGCAGAGCGACCAATAGCTTTGGTGCCGACACCATCACTACTACATTAAAGTGCAAACGTTAGCCACAATTTTAATTTATATAACTTTTGTAAAAAATTAATTTTCAATTTCAGTTTTAATGAATGTTATTTTAATCATTTTGACAGCAAAACCAAAAGTGATTCTCGAATCTCAACTTCCGATTGAGATGTCCAGAGGTATCGAGAGTTTGATTCAATACGAAGAATCGCTTAATGTTAAGCCTATGGAGTATACGGAGGAACTGGTGTGGGAATCGCCACGTTTTGACGTTCCCCTCGAAAATGTTACTAATCTTAAAGAAGGCGATGGTTTACACATTGAAACCAGAATCACACCAACCGATGACCCAAATCTGACCATTGAATGGTTGAAAAATGGGCAGCCATTGAGAGCTAGTAATAGAATCCGAACCATTTCTGACTTTGGTTTTGTTGTTTTGGAAATAAATCCGGTTTATAGCGAAGACAGTGGACTCTACTCTGTGAGAGCCACCAATAATACCGGCGAAGCCGTGATGACATGTAATATAAAGTGTGAGTCCAGTAGAAAAGTGGTTCTGGACAGTCAACTCCCAGACAGTATGGAGACAACGATTCAAAAGCTGTCACAATTTGAAGACACAGTTGTGCGACAAGTGAGTGAAAGTTGGACTCAAATCGAGGAACAACCGCCAAAATTCTTGAATCCACTCAAAGACATTGCAATCAAAGAGAACGATTTCGTTCACTTCGAGTCCAGATTAATACCAATCAGTGATCCGACGATGAGAGTCGAGTGGTTTGTAAACGATAAGCCACTGACCACTGGATCACGATTTAGAACCATAAGTGACTTCGGATATGTTGTCCTCGAGATCGCCGAAGCATATCCTCGCGATTCGGGTCTCTATGTCTGTAAAGCTGTTAATAAGTTCGGCGAAGACTCCATCTCCTGTCGACTATTCGTCAAAAGTCAGACAACAGTTGTCTTAGAGTCACAATTGCCCGCAGAATATATCACAGGCGCTGATAGTGTGCAGAGAATGGAGACACTTATGGCTCAAATGCCTCAATCAGTTAGAGTTGATTCGGAACAACCAGTTCCGCCTAAATTTATGACACAAATAAAGAATTTAAATAAATTAGAGGGCGATTCCGCACATTTCGAGTGCAGACTAGAGCCCATTAACGACCCATCCTTGAGGGTTGACTGGTATTTGAATGACAAACCATTAATGACAGGTAACATTTGAATGAACTATTTAAAAATTGTTTAAAACTAAGAATTAATGATTTAAACTGAAATCTGAATGAAAGGGTCCCGAATTCATACAATTAATGACTTTGGGTTTGTTGTACTCGAAATCGATTGGCTGTTTCCTCGAGATTCCGGTGTCTATAAGTGTGTGGCCACTAATTCTTGGGGCTCTGATTCAACTCAAGCCACTGTCAACGTGAAGGGTATTTATAATTTGAGTAATTTGTTAATTCATTCTTTTAAAAATTGCAATTATATTACTGTTAGCTAAAAAAGATATAGTGGTTGACAGCCAATTACCACCGGGAGTGTCATCACAGCTATGGAAGCAATCAGAATACGCTCTCATTCAAGAAGGATTAAGTGAAGACATTTCACTTCAAACGCCACGATTTGTCACAGAAATGAAGTCTTTGGAGCATTTGATTGAAGGCGATAACATCCACTTTGAGTGCAGACTCGAGCCCATAACTGATGGCCAGTTAGCTGTCGAATGGTTTCATAACGGAGAGCCCTTACGCTCTGGTCATCGGCATAAAGCTATCCATGACTTTGGCTTTGTTTCACTGGATATCTTGTCTGCTTATCCAGAGGTTGATACCTATATTACAGTATATTATTTATTTAATGAGTTATTATTGATGATAGGATTCTGGAGAATACATTTGTCGCGCAAAATCACCTAAAGGTGAGACTGAGATCAGAGCTATGGTTAAAGTAAAGGCCAGACCCTCTTTAATAACAACATCTCAATTACCAACCGAAATGTCAATGGCTGTCAATAGGATGATAGAAATGGAGTCATCGACAGAAATGTTAGAAATTATAAAATAAACTAAATTTTCAATGATTAATCAAATTATATGAATAGAGTGGAGACCGTGGAGGAGGAAGAGATCAAGAGAATGGCTCCAAGTTTTGTGTTAAAACCCGAGCCATTAGTGGTATTAGAGGGCGATTGCGCCAAATTTTGTTGTCGTCTAATCGGAAATCCCAAACCAAGAGTGTTGTGGAGTATTGGCGGCAATACTGTAGTCCACGGCTCGAGATATAAACTTCGATACGACGGAATGCATCACTTGGAGATCCCAAAGGCCAGACAATACGATAAGGGAATCCTTGAGGTGTACGCCAAGAACGCCGTCGGAGAGGCCTATTGTAGCACTACTATAGACGTGAAGCCCAAGAATGATGACTACCGAGCAGTTCTGAAGCATTCGCCGAAACGTGAGTTATTTTAGTTTATATTAGTTATTATAAAAATTGAGACAAAATATCCATTTCTGTCGGAATTGATTAGCATATTATGACGAAAATGTAACTAAATATCAAATTGAAAGACAAAACTCTGAACTCGAAAAAGTGTTTGAAGAGAGAACAGCTCCGGGAGAAGGAGGTGCTGAAGAATCGGTGGTTTGGTATACGGGAAAAGTTGACGAACAGAACAGAATCAAAATCAGAGATACGGTGAGAGACGACACGACCATCGACTCGGATGTGACTCTCTGTATGCAAGGGAAACGCGATGTTGAGACCAGTGACCAAACAGTGGCCAAACCAAAGAAGGTATTCATTAAATCGCAAACAAAAGCCAAACCGATTGAAGAGATTGCCACAACTGTGGCGCCAGAAGTGAAATCTGTTGATAAACGAGCGCCAGTTGTGTCAGAGGAGAAGATATCGGAACAAAAGTTTCAAATAACCGAAAAAGAGGCTCCGATTACTCCCGAGTCTGTAATTCATGGCAAAGAAGTGGTCGTTCAGACACAGAAACAAACCCAAAAAGAAGAGAAAGAAGACGTGGAGATCACGCGACACATCCGAGAGACAGAAAGTGTAGATCACGAACACAAGTCTGTTATAAAACAACGGAAAATAATGGGAAAAGTGCCCGAAACCAAAGCACCAAATTTCACCAAAAAGATAGCCCCGTGCCGTACGTATGAGAAATCTGAAGCGCGTTTTGAGTGCACGTTCACAGGCCTTCCCATTCCCACCATTACGTGGTTTAGGGAAAACTTTCCGATTCAAGACTCACAGGATTTTAATGTAAAACGATTGCATTGCATTTGTATATAATTATAATAAAATATATAATTTTTAAATTTATTTGATTAAAGATTATAACGACTGAAAACAGTTCGACACTAATCATCAAAGAGGTATATGTGGAGGACTCCGGTATTTTCAGTGTAAAGGCCGAGAATAGGGGCGGTTCTGCTAAATGTTCAGCAAATCTGATTGTTGAAGGTATGAGAAAATAAATATGTTTTAAAAAATGATACGGTACATTTATTTCATTTATTATACTCTTAATGTTTGAGTAGAATATAGAGAAACCAGAAGTGGAGATCTGATTCCTCCGAGTTTTATGAAGACAATCCAATGCGTGACCACAAAAGTGGGACAATTGATTCGATTGGACGCTAAGATTGGTGGATCCAAACCATTGAATGTGTTTTGGATAAAAAATGGGGAAAGAGTTACGCAAAACAAAAGGCATAAAGTGGTTGAGGACGAGGACCAGTTCACACTACTTATACTGGAGGCCGAGACAAGTGATGCCGGATCTTACGAATGTGCGGCCATTAATAAGGCCGGAGAGGCTCATTGTATTTGTCAGGTCCTCGTGGAAGCGCCGGTAATACAGAGGCAACTCTCTAAGGAAGAAATGGTCCCACAATTAGTGGAACCGCTCACAGATGTGATCGTCAAAGAAGGCCAGACAGCTCTATTCAAATGTCGGATTAGTGGCACTTCTTGTAAATAGATTATTGTTATGAATAAAATGAGATTTTATTGAAATTATTGTTTCAATGGCTTAATAGCGTCGGAAGTGATTTGGATCCGAGAGGGCGAACACATCAAACAGAGTCGATATTTCCGGATGACTGAAGACGGAGAGTACCACACATTAAGGATATCGGAAGCGTTTGCCGAAGACGAGGGAATGTATAAATGTGTGGCCGGAAAAGTGTCCACTTCTGCCAAACTTAGAGTAATCGGTAATGAAATTGTCATTATTATTATAAAACGTTATAAAATCTCAATTTATATAAATAATTACAAATGATTTAAAATTTGTTGTAATATTATAGAAGACAGAGAAGTAACGCCACAAATGACTCCATTGACTGACTTAACTGTTATGGAGGGCTCTCCGGCCCGGTTTGTGACCGCTCTGTCGGGTTCTCCCACTCCGAAGATAATGTGGTACCGGGACGGACATGCGATTGAGCCGTCGCGGGATTTTCAGGTAAACAACTCATAACATTTCATTTATAAAAGTATACCATTTATAATGCAATGGATTGTGGCCTGGTATGCAGATGTCTCAGGACTGTGCCTCGTGTTCGCTTGTCATACGACAAACCTATGCTGAGGACGAAGGCATCTACGAGTGCGTGGCGTCGACACCCGTCGCTCAAAGCAGGACTTCTGCGCGACTGTCCGTTGAAAGTAAGCAGAAGTAGAGATGAAAACCCATTCAATCGACTGATGACTTGATAATTGCTTTCAATTATTAAATCCCAACCATATATCGCACGAATTCATGATATTCTTGAATTCTTTGAACATTTGTTTGGCTTTCAGTTTGAAAATTCATATTAAAATATTCATTGATTTTTTTTGTGCTAAACGACAGTAATTATTATGAAAATAATTATTGTAATTTAAAGAAATTAAGAGATTTAACTACTATTAAAATCATTTATTAAATGTTAAATGAATGAGCATTTTATTATAATTATTTTAATAGATTATGAATGAATACAAATTACAGAATATGATGCTTATTTTTGCCAATTTGTACAGTATATATAACAGAAATCTAAATGCAAAATTAAATAATTTATTGAGAGTATAATTAATACCATATAAAACTATAAAACTACTAAAAGTTTTAACAAAATGATGCTGAATATAATGCTAAGAATATAGAGAACTAAAATTGTGGATAAAGTTGTCAGAGTAATGGCTGTCATTAAAATTTGGTCAAAAGAGCCATTGTTCTGATGTTATTCTCTTATTGTGCGGAAAGTGAATATAATTTAAGAAACATTTCCCTCAATACCGATGATATATAATACACGACATGTGTTCACAACCAGTTAGAGCTTTAAATCTATTAATAGTCTCAGACTTGATTTGGTAATGTCTAGCATATAATGAATACAACACAAACTTAGTTTACATTCTTTATAACTGTAATTCGATACCAAACGGGAATTGGTTAGCATTTGAATCAACTATACGTTAAATTAATTTAAATAAAATTTTTTATATTTAATTAGTAACTGAAAATAAAAATAAATAAGTTAAAATAAATGCAATATATTGAAATATAAAACTAGAACATATTGTAATCAAAATTAGGATTTAGAAAAAATAACAAATTCTATAATGAACATTTAAGAATTATTTATTAGGTCTAAATTAAATTATTAATTCCCAGATCCAATTGGAGTTTTAGTTAGGGATTATACAAAAAATGAGTTAACGTAAATAAATAACTACAGTATATTAAACTCTCCCAACCCTCCAAATCGCTGCTTTCATATATGAGTGATTTCTCTGATAAGGATGTGAGTCGAGCGCCAGATCTGGCGGAACCCACACTGTTTGTGGCCACACAGGTGTAAACGCCGGCATCTCTGTGGTCGACGTCTCTGATTGTAAGCGAAACGTAACCAAAATTGAAGAACGGATTGATTCGAGAGCTGGCGCTCAGGTGTTTGTCATCTTTAAGCCACTCAACTCTCATTGTTGAGTCTCCCTGCGGTTCAAGAAGTGCTTCAAAAACAGCGGTATTTCCCTCCAACACTTGCAACTGATCCCCAATATGTTTTTTAAACACCGGTTTATTATGCGGCTCTAACTCGCGGTCAAAGAATTCATGTTTCGAGCGCTTCTTTTGACTCATGAGTGCAGAACTGTCTTCATCTGATCTCTTATGAGACGGAGATTTAACTGAAAATTAAATCAATGCAACGTTAGTTCAATTCAATGCACTGAAAAATGCTTTGTTACCTAAGATTTTGAGAGATGCGGTGGAAACGACTTCTCCGCCGGCATTTGTCACTCTAACCATATATAGCCCACAATCCGATGGCCTCACTTCTGCTATGTTTAGAGAGATGTATCCGAAGCTAAATACGGTACTCACTCTCGACCCTTGATATAAGAATTTCAGAAATTAATAAATAAATAAATAAGTTAATTAATTATAATTATTTAGGACATACCCAACATTAATGGTTGTCCATTTAAAAACCATTCAATTCTGAGGGTCGGATCATTGACTGGTGTGATCTGTGCCTCAAAGCGTG